ACAGATGTCTGTATCCACGGATAGCAACGCCTCAGCCGTTCCGCAGAGCTCTTTGGGCGTGAAGTCGGAGAAAAACAGTCGAATGGTTCCCAACCCTTACGTTCTCATAACACCACTTCAGTCATCGCTGGGAACTACTGACGAGCCCTCGAGTTCCACATTGATTACGTCCGCCAATCGGTTCAACAACGAAGAGCCGCCATATAAGCGAAGAACAGCCATCCGTTTGGCCACTCCGTTGTCCACAAGCGGATCCATGACTACGACAATCAGTTCAACTTTGATGCGTTCATACTCTCCCACGTATTCCAACGCAAACGACGACACATTCTTCCGCAGAACGCCTTCGCCTATGTATGCGATGCCAAACGTAACCACTATTTCTCTCTCCAGTGAAACCGTATCGCAAGACGAAGAGTCAACCACTGCTGTCACTCTTTCCGAGTCTCCAAACACTTCGTATTTTCACACTTTGGACCCAAACTCCAGTTTCGCTGACACCGAAGAAACAGGTTTTCTATCGTCTAATGAGTGACAGACTTTATAACACCATTTATCCGATTCAGATCCAGACGGTGACAACGATCGATAGAACACACCATTGATAGGACACCACAAATATTCTCTCTAATAAGTGATCGCTATTTTAATCGCAATTTCTTTTTTTAAAACTTATTACAAATTAAAAAAATGCGTTAATATTTGAATTGTTTATAAATAAAAACTTTAATCAATAAAACATATAATCGACTCTTTGTTGACAAAAAATATCAACCAATTGTTAACTTAATCAGAAAATACATTAATGTTTAAGTGAAGCAATGCTTTTAATTATTCAATACAAGTGTGTATTGTATGACATAATAGAAGAATTGGTTGCACTGGAAATGGTGTACCGGTTGGTCGACCACTTGTATTGTTCACTTAGACAATGGCTGATGCAATAAATTGCGCCACTTCTTCGTTTTGTGAGCGGACCGTCAGTTTCATAGTGACGCCATCAGTGTTGGCCGAAAGCGCTAACTTCGCTCTCACCAGCACTTCATCCACACCGCGGAAAATGCCCGACAAATACACCGTATGAGAGCTCTTGCCTTCGGGCACTTTATCGGATCGATCGCAGGCATGCATTCCCATGAATGACACTATGTTTTTGATGGCCTCCTCTATGGTCTTGAAGTTGGAGAGCGCGTACGTCTCCTCCACTTCACAATCGGCGCTCATCTCATCCCAAGCGCTCATGAAATTGGGTTTCATTATGCGCTGCATATAATCGGCAACCAATAGATCCACGTCTTCCAACACGTATTCATCAGAATATCTAATCAAATGTAATCAATAAATCAATTAGATTTGCATTTAGGGACTCAGTTTGAATGCCTACCCGTCCTCATCGAGTATTTGTCCGGTGTTTGGATCGCAATCTTTAACCACAAACTTAAGCGTTACGTTTGAAAATGTGGTCGAAAAGAGGTTTATGTCATCGGTTGCCACCAATAGACAGACATAAGCGGTTCCGGGAATGTTATAAACCAGTTTCTGACACTCGACTCTCTCCACTATTTCGAAGCCTTCGGGCACCTGAAGGGAGAGACAAACAAATTTAGTATACGATATGAATGAATCAATGGTTTTGGTCAGACCTGTAACGAGATGTTGACATTCTCTAGCATCTGATCGTTACAAGTATTAGTGCAGTCGAACTGCAATACAATATGACTTTTGAATATATGTTTAATACATTGGACGACATATTCTGTTTCAGATTCAGTCAACTCTATTGGAAGAGAAGATTTAATAATTGGACCCAATTTTAGTGAATTGAGTTCCGCTATTGCAGCCAATTGTTCGGCGTATATGTCTTGACGTGTGGCCGCGATCTTCTCTCCCGTAGCTTTCAATTGGTTGTTGACATTATTGGAACTGTTGTTGACGTTTGTCTTTTTGACCAATTCGTCGGACATGAGAGGAGTGGTAGAAAGTGGTACTGATTTAATATCAAAGGGAACGTCTGATTGGGAAGTATCCAAGAGATAGGATTGCAACGCCTTCTCTAAGCCCACAATCGAGACCTGAAGTGGATTTATAATGAATGATAGATAGAGTGACTTTTGCTTCTGCTTCAGGACATTGAGATAATATGTGGACCGATCGCGCACTTCATCGTCAGTGTCTAACGTCGACCTCTCCAACAGCACCAGTATTTGAGGCAACAGTTCTTCACAATGAGCGCCGAATTTAGCCAAAGAGGAGACGGCGGCGGCCCTCACCTGAGCGTTCTCTAGGATCAGTCGGTTGTATATAAAACGGATATATTTCGATGGATTCGAAGTACGGGTTCCCTCTTTGCCCAAGAGGTGCAGTATTCTGACGGCAAGACCCGTGTGTTCGCAGTCCTCAATGAATTCGCAGAGATGTGCTAAACCGGCTTCTTTGGCCTCTGGATTGTCTTCTATAATCGATATAATGGTATCGACAATGGATTTCTTGTATTCATAGCCTCCCTCTTCCCTCAACATTGTGGAGAGGAATGTCATCATAACGTTGTGCTTTCGCGGGAACTTCTGGCACAACTGTCGGGTCGCTCCGACCACTACTATCTTGAACTCATCCGATATTTCCGACATAAACGATGCGATTTGTTTCATAAGGCGTTCGACTGAACTCTCATTACCTGTCTTAAGGAGTGTAGTGATGGCCAGAGTGGCGATCGAGCGGTTAGAATCGGTGATCAGGTTCTCTAAGTCGACATTACAGGCCATGACAGCGTTGGGGTGACTCATCGCTACCTTGTTTAGAGTCCGGACGGCAGCGAAACGTAGGGTTGGTTTTGGAGACGACAGGAATAACTGGAGGACAGAAACGGCGGGATTGAGTTCGCGCTGAGACGTGAACTGAAGATTGACGATAGCATTGGCCGCTTCGTAGACAACCATTTCTGACTTATGCCGTAAACACGACTCAATGAACTCGAAGTACGGACTCTCCGGACCGCAGTCTTCGTCTTCAATTAATTTGCTGGCAATACGTATGAGAAGACACAAAGCGTACGGAGATTTGAGACCCGATCGGATGAATTTGGTCACCAGTTTAGTGACAGCCAATCGGTCTGTTTTGCGGATGTGATACAAGAGACCCAACGCGTGGTTTTGAACCATTATATTATCCGAATTGACCGCTTCTTGAGCCTCATTCACCCAACGCTTCACTCCATCGGCGATCGTTTTGGTCAGATGTAGGGATGAGACCAGAGCTGCCGAAGCGACCGCTGGATTCTTGTCGACAATCGCTTGTTTCATATACCTCTCGATTCCCTGCATTAGCCAAACATAAACACATCGTTAGTGACAACACAAACGGTTTGAGATAATCACCTGAAAAGTGGTGGCGTCTGTGATCTGACAGAGAGCTCTCATGGCGGCGGGTCTGCACTGATCGTCTTTGGCGTTCATATCGGTGGTCAAACTGCTGGTCACCACATATACATTCTCCGCCACTTTCGACAACTCTTTGATACCGATGTAAACGAGACGCCGAAGAGTCGTGTCTTTCGATTGGAAGAGTTTAGTCATATTGAAGAAGGCGTCGGTCGCCTCAGTTGTGGACAGCGTTTCGCCACTGTTTATAAGATACAAGATTTTGGTCAAAATGAGTGCACACTTGCGGGCGTTGACCGGCGTTTCGTTGAATACACGGCACTCTTGAAGCGCTGATGTCTTCTGCACTTTCGCGAACGGATTCGCCGACACCTCCTCCTCGTCCTTCTTATCACGTTTGTTGTGATACATGTCTTCC